CTTCATGGTTAAGGTTAATTCAGAAAGACAGACAGACAGACAGACAGACAGACAGACTAACACTTCAACAGACAGACAGGCAAGCAGACAGGGAGACAGACAGACAGGCAGACAGGCAAGCAGACAGGGAGACAGACAGACAGGCAGACAGACAGACAGACAGGCAAACAGGGAGACAGACAGGCAGACAGACAGGCAAACAGGGAGACAGGCAGACAGACAGGCAGGCACACACACGCACGCGCGCGTGCACACCGATTGACCACCCGAACGACCGACCGACCGGAGTCTCCCTAACTCGCGAACTNGTGTGTGTATGCGTGTGCATGTGTGTGTATGTGGGTGTGGGTGTGTGTGTGTGTGTGCGTGCGTGCGTGTGTGTGTGCGCGCGTGCGTGCGTGCGTGTGTGTATGTACGTGGGTGCGCGTGTGTATGTATGTGGGCGAGCGTGCGTGCGTGCGTGCGTGTGTATATGCGTGTGCATGTGTGTGTAGGCTGGCATGTGTAGGCGTGCGCATGTGTGTAGGTACGCGTATATGTACGTGGGCGCGCGCGTCTGTCTGAACTCTGCAGCAGACGCCCGTCTGACGCCGAAGTGCGGGTACGGTGCCGCCATCTAGTGTCGCCAGATGTATTTAAACCGTGATTGACATAGAGGACGTGCCAATCATGTCTAGACAGCGAAGACGCATGCACGACACACCTTGCTCACTGACACGAGCTCTCTCCATTCTGCTGTGGAATAGTTAAAAAGGCCATCAATAGATTTCATTTCAGAAGGAGACGGGAGGCAACTAATTGAAAAAAAATCCTTATTTAGAAAACTGTCAGTTAAATTCTGTAGCAAATTATTACTGCTGCTCTTAAAGAGCACGTTTATTTGTTAGTTCTTGTATTTAAATACCTTGTTTGGTTATACTATACCTCGAACATTGCTGTGGGCATGTCTCACTTTACCCAGATGCTTTGATAAAACCGTTGACAACGCATGCCCCTAGCTTAGTCTAGAAGCAGCTTGCACGCGGACCGTTGATGGTTTATCTTCTGCTCGCGTTGTGACTTCGGTCACAGCCAGAGGGTGCTGGGTTGCTGGGTTGCTGTAACGGAAGCATTCTCTCGACTGCCAACGAATGGAAACGTAGATGCAATTCCACCTTGTTTCCCCCTCCCGCAAAAATACACAGTCGCGCTATTGAATAGAAACGTGCTCTAATAGAAACGTGCTCTAATATAAAGGTGCTCTAAGAGAAACTTGCTCTATTAGAAACTTGCTCTATTAGAAACGTGCTCTATTACAATTGTGCTCTAAGAGAAGCGTGCTCTAATATAAACGTGCTCTATTAGAAGCGTGCTCTAAATATAAACGTGCTCTATTAGAAACGTGCTCTAATATAAACGTGCTCTATTAGATGTGCTCTAATAGAAACGTGCTCTAAAATAAACATGTTCTAATATAAACGTGCTCTAATAGAAACGTGTTCTAATATAAACATGCTCTAATATAAACGTGCTCTAATACAAACATGCTCTAAAATAAACGTGCCCTAATACAAACATGCTCTCGTCTGATAACTGACTAACGTACATGCGTTTGTTTCTCTCGCTCGCTGGTAGGTGGCGAAGGCGTACGACCACGCGGAGAACGAGTACGTCGCGATAAAGATCATCAAGAACAAGAAGCCGTTCCTCGAGCAGGCCAAGATAGAGGTGCAGCTGCTGGAGCTGATGAACAAGCACGACGTAGACTGCAAGTACTACATAGGTACGTACGTACGTACGTGTGTGAGACCGTCACCGCGCGGTCAGGGTGTTTGCGCGCGTTCATGCGCGTGTGCGTGCGTGCGTGCGTGCGTGCGTGCGTGTGTGAGTGAGTGCGTGCGTGCGTGAGTGCGTGTGTGCGTGTAGCGAGTGGTAGGTGTGCAGTTCTTGTGACGAGCACAACATAGCCTCATGGTTAAGGTTAATTCAGAAAGACAGACAGACAGACAGACAGACACACAGACAGACTAACACTTCAACAGACAGACAGGCAAGCAGACAGGGAGACAGACAGGGAGACAGGCAGGCACACACACGCACGCGCGCGTGCACACCGATTGACCACCCGACCGACCGACCGACCGGAGTCTCCCTAACTCGCGAACTAAACCTCTTCTTCGTTATTCAACAGTGAAACTGAAGCGGCACTTCATCTTCCGCAACCACCTGTGTCTCGTCTTCGAGCTGCTCTCCTACAACCTGTACGACCTGCTGCGCAACACAAACTTCCGCGGCGTCTCGCTCAACCTGACGCGCAAGTTTGCGCAGCAGCTCTGCACGGCGCTGCTCTTCCTCGCGACGCCGGAGCTAACGTCATCCACTGCGACCTGAAGCCGGAGAACATCCTGCTGTGCAACCCCAAGCGCAGCGCCATCAAGATCGTAGACTTCGGCAGCTCTTGCCAGCTGGGCAACCGGGTAGGTGGAACGCAAGAGGAGAGGGGGGCGGGAGAGGGGGTGTTGAATTGAGGAGCGGGGGGATTCGGTGGGTTGAGAACATATACTGCTGTGCAACCCCAAGCGCAGCGCCATCAAGATCGTTGACTTCGGCAGCTCTTGCCAGCTGGGCAACCGGGTAGGTGGAACGCAAGAGGAGAGGGGG